CTGCTACGGGCCCATCTTGCTATCCTCCATAGGCTGTCTAGGGAACTCGTCGCCTCTTTGACCCTTTTCCGGTGGTGATCTCTCAGAGTTTTCCTGATGAGTCTAGCTTTGTGGTTCCTTGCGCGGCGATATGCCTCCCAGGCCTCGGGCGTTCGTTCGCGTTGGTACCTCCGTCTCAGGCGTCGGGCGAGCTGCTGCGCCTCTTTGCATTCCCTTGTCCACCCCGGTATCGAGCGTGGGCTGACTCGCGCTTTTGGAGTGGACTCTTTAACTGCCACTAGGATGGCATTGACTATGGCCTTAGTGGCGTTATCAATGTCCTGTTTTGTGGTCAACGTCCTCAAGTCCGGCAGATTTTGCGCCAGGACATGGTGAAGTCGTTCTTTGTCGGTGAGTTCCCATTTCCACTTCTCAGGAAGTGTACGCTCAAGGGTTGGCTTTGCGAATATCGTCTCAAGCGGGATGTGGTCCGAGTCGTGGTCCAGGTCTTCCCGCGGAAGACACCGGACGAGACTGTCCTGGAGTCTAGGTGTGGCTAGCGAAAGATCGATCGTCGATTCTGAGCCTCGGGTCACAGTTCCTGCTTCGTAGAGGAGGCCTAAGTCGAAATTCTCAATTAATTGTAGTGTTTCCTCCGCTTCGGGATCTGCTCTTTGCGTCATCAAGCCGCCCCAGTATGGATGATGCAGGTTGAAGTCTCCCACGACGACCTGCTCTGCCTGTCGCCATTGCTCCATTGCTGTCTGAAGCATTGGGAGGGTGCTATTTACCGGTTCTAGAGTAGGGAGAGGATTGTATACATTATAAATAATGATCTCTTCATTCTCTTCGTCGCCCCAGCGTAGTTGCAGTGTGCTTAGATCGGGGGTGTGATGCGTGACTGACCAGCATTTAGTCTCAATCTTCTTGTTCACGAAGAAGCATACCCAGGTTTTCTTGTGATCGTAGTATGCCAATTCAAAATATTGTGGGATAGGATGATGGGTGGTGTTCATAAACAGGTTTCTCCATGGTTCTTGTATTGCCAATACATCATAGCTGATGATCTTTCTGTCTCTCAACAGGGCCGCTATCACCTGGTCTTAGGACTTCCTGATGTTATACTAGAGTATTAATAGTGTAGACTGTCTAGTCATTGCTGGCTGGAAGGTGTGACTTCAAAGAAATTTAACATCGACTGCATGTTTCCCCCTGGAGCTGATTTGTCCGATTGTGTTACCCCCTCTCTCCTTGTGTTCGCGGAGCTTTCAGCAAGAACTTGGCATGTGAGAGTGCGCCGTCTCTTATGTGCCGTCTGCCACTCCTCTCCTACTGCCCGAGTGGATGGCTGTACACTTTTCCTCAGGTCGTATGAGAGCGGCTGGTTGGAAATCACACTCCGCTGTGAATTCCCCGATACGTTGCTGTCGGGCTGTGTCCCAGTCGGACTAGACGGCCGCGTCAAGCCTCTCTGTCCTGAAGGGACTCCTACAGCTGACCTTCTGGAATCATCCGTTTCGTGATAGAAGACGGGTCGCGTCTGTCGAGCCCGTTCAATTCTTTCCACCTCCTTTCGTCTCCTTGGACAGGCGTTGCTCCATGCCATATGTTGGCCCTTATATAGCACGCAAAACGGTGCCGGCTTGGGGTCCATTTCCTTCACCATGCATTCCTTGGTATTATGCTTTCCCGCGCAGTATCCGCATCGCTCTTCAGCATTGCACTGAGGTCCGATGTGACTGTATTCATGGCATCTGTAGCACTGCTTAAGTCTGCACAACCAGTCATACAGGACGCAGTCGTGGTGAATTGCATTCAATACCAGCCCTTCCCGGATGACTCGGTTCGCGTGATACTTGGTGGTGAATTCCACAATGAGGGAGGAGGTCGGTTTTCTCTGCCCTTCCTTGGTCAGCCATCCTACATGAGTTACCTTCGCTCCTTCATGGAGTACTGCGTTCTCGGACTCAATCTTCTCAATGGCTCTTTATTGATTGTCAGTGTTAATTGATTCTTTGCTAGTGTTTACTCCGTGTACAAGTACTCTATACATGGGCTTGATCACTCGTGCAGTTGTTCCAAGGACTTTAACCCATTCTTCCTTGGTGCTCTTCAGTGTGTCCGCCTCTGCCATAGTGGCGGTATGGAGTACTACATCGCCGCTTTTCAACTGCTTTGCTGCTATGACGCGTGGGGCTTTCCCAAGTAAATTTATCTGTGATCCCAGGGCGTCGTTCACTCATTTACAGATGTCCTCCGGTGATACCTTGCGGAGAACGGCCGCAGAGTTTAGATCCAGTTTCACTACAGTTTCCCTATCCTTGACGCTTGCAGTTATGGAGGCCCTGCTGTTCGGGGTCAAGGGGTATGAGGGCGTGCCTGAGCGGACTACATCCGCCCAGGAAGTGATTCGGGTGGCTGCATGGGGTGTAATGAGGGCGGGCGATGCGAGTGCATTATTAATAGTGTTTTTGATGAGGGTGATGTCCTCCACAATTAGCTGAAGGGAGTTTAGTTTTCCCAAAATCTCCTGTGCTGATGGTTGTTCTTAAGTCTTCTTAGCTAAGTTAACTATGCTATTCAAAAATACTTCCAAGGATTGGGCTGGTAGTTTAGTATATTTAGTGCTATCAAGCTCCAGCAGTGCTGTGGCCTCGGCTATGATTTATGTGGCATACTCAAGGTGGTTCAGGGGCTGGATCCCCAACACTAGCCAAATAGTTCCACCAACCATGACTTCTGGGTATTGGGCGATAGCCAGAAGTCTGGTCAATAGATTGACCTAGGTTTGAGATCAATTAAGCTTCTATTTAATGAGAAATTTCAAAAATTCGCTCTGAGCTGAGAGTAGTTGTAGTAACGGAGCTAAGCTGTAACTGGCACAGTCACAGAATATCTATCTTCCGTAATTTAATCGTAATATATGAACTGTAATATATAATACGGGCGTACGTACATGCGTATGGGCCCTGTACGGGCGATCTATTGGGGCATAAATGCCCATTGGAAAGCTAACGTATGATGTTTCCAATTAGGCTCCTTGGTGGCATCTATGCCTTTTGAGGAGGTGATATCTACCCCTCTCAATATCTGTATTACTTCCTAAGCTGGTACTTCGGAACGATTTCAATTTATGCCCTCATCCCCAGTGACTTCGGCCGCGGACGTTCGCCCTCTGAATATGGCTTTTATGCACCACAGCTGTTTTCTTCTCGAGTTGCGCTAGAAGATATTAGTCGATGAATTAGTTGGTGGGCGACTGAGTCTAATTATAACAGGATGGGGAGATCAGAGCTCAGCGTATCGTGACTCATGCACTTTCAATAACTATTCATGGACAATCTCTTGCTACACTGCAGGGATATGTAGATATTATAAATAGGACAATACATTAGTACACTGCATGGAGACATAGCACACATTTTCAACATAGCATTCTATAAATATGTAGATAGTTACACAGAGGATAATACATTAATACACCGCATAGAGATATAGCATACATCTATGATCATTATACAGCATAGAAATTATGTAATAGATCTAGATATTACATACAACCTATAACATCCTAAAAATAAGTTGAGATTCCAGTATTAAGCAGTGAAATTAGCCTTAGTGACAGGAAAATCCCTCCACAGAGTTCTCTGAACAGAAAAACACAGATAGATCTGACCTCACCATGCAAGGGTGGGGTCCACAATGCGGCGGTCACTACCCAAGATGCACTCATTGTTTTGATGTGCAAGTGATATGTTTCGACGAATTCTTGGCGGATGTGGTCGTCTCAAAGTACGAATCTGCTGCCTTAGGCCTGGATTAGGCCAGCATCCTTGGGTTCAGGTGCATTCTGTATCGCATTAACAGTGACATATCATCCTCTAGCCACAGATTTGCATTTGGCGACATTAGGGGCGTGTGCATGCGCAAAGAAGTTGTCGGGTGAATGAGGTAACCACTCAGCTTCTTGACTATTGTTGCTAAATTGAGGTATGTAATGCTGGATAATATCTCATAGTCAGCTTGTCTGTTTGATACCACCATTTTTCGACCCACATTATCTAGCTTCTTGAAGTTCTGTTGAAGCTCGTATACACTAGGTAGTACAAATGCGGGAGGAGCTTGGAGAAAACACAAATGTGTGCATGCCTATTTCCCTAAATCTCCACTTATTCTCAGCAGTAGATTTGCTGTCCTTTATACATACAAAGTGCATATAAGTGAGATATTTCCTGTAAGCTTGCTGAGCCCAACAAAACGCTCAGCACAGGGTAAAAATGTGTTATCGTGAGCTCTTAGCACTTTTCTATATGCATACGAGCATGCAGTGTAATAGATTTACGGTATGCATCTTTTACTGACACACGGAAGCAAATTGCCACATGTTCTCCTACTGCCGTCTATTGAACAGCATTCGTCTTGAAGCCTCGTACTTTCCTATAAGATTTGCGATTCTGTTCAGAGAACTCCGTGGAGGGATTTTCCTGTCACTAAGGCTAATTTCACTGCTTAATACTGGAATCTCAACTTATTTTTAGGATGTTATAGGTTGTATATAATATCTAGATCTATCACATAATTTCTATGCTGTATAATGATCACAGATATATGCTATGTCTCTATGTGGTGTATCAATGTGTTGTCCTCTGTGTAACCATCTACATATTTATGGAATGCTATATTGAAAATGTGTGCTATGTCTCCATGCGGTGTACCAATGCGTTGTCCTCTGTGTAACTATCTACATATTTGTGGAATGCTATGTTGAAAATGTGTGCTATGTCTCCATGCGGTGTACCAATGTGTTGTCCTACTTATAATATCTACATATCCCTGCAGTGTAGCAATAGATTGTCCATGAATATCGAAGCGCGTGAGTCACAATACGCTGAGCTCTGGTCTCTCCATCCTGTTATAATTGGACTCAGTCGCCCACCAACTAATTCATCCAACTTTATCTCATTTGAGAGCAACTCTTATCCTCATCCCTTCGCATATTTTGTCACTATTATAATATCATCATGGGATTTGTTACCACCACTCAGGGCCTTGTTTATTTCCGGCTCGTCGCACTAGTTCCTAGCAAAGTTTGGGAATACCGCCTTGAGCATGGTAACTGGGTGAAGTCGTCAGAACCAATCCTCCTGCCTTCTCGCGTCAATGTACAGCATGATTTTGGGATCAGTTACTTCAGTGATCCTCAAGTAGATCCAAGAGTAAGCGCTTCCATCTCTCTGATGGTTTAGAATTCAATGCTTACAATACTTAGATAACTCTTCTTACTGGTCCATCAGATTGGGAAATTTCCGAGTTCCAGTGGCATCTTGGAGAAGGCGACGTTGGGGAGCTTGTGATTCCAGACTCTATCCAGAAATTAGTCGATGGGAATTTCATGCCAACCTTTATTGGTCCTTCTCCACTACTTGGTGTGCCGACAAGTATATTGGGAAAGCAGTGGGCGTTTGTGACAGGGTAAGCTACGATTCAACTTGACGCTAATTATTGGTTCGCTGATAGAGATATTGGACAGAAAGGATGACACACTTGTAGAGCTCAAAAGGGATACTCCGACAAGTGTTTGGGAAGCAAGAGTTATTAAAAACAAGGATATACACGGCCCATGGCGAGATACCTGCCTGAATTCTAAAGGAATCCATCTATTTACGCAACCACACGACGGGACTCACCGAATACTCCAAGCCTCTCGCGCTGTGGATAACCCAGACTATACTGGTACAGATAGCCTCTATCTATTATCCCATAATATCTAGCCTATTATTGATGGACTGACCAATTACTAGTCACTACTTACTTCGAATCCCACGCGGAGATGAACCTCTCCATTTCTGGCGCAGTCGCTGCCTGGGATGAAGAACCCCGTGTCTTCTTTAATTCCGAGAGGAATGATGGCACATATATATACGAGTGTGTATATGATCCACAAGAGAAAACAAGGAAACTTCAAGAACTGGTGAAGGTTCAGGGTGGCTCCTACATTGGTCTCATTGATATAGGCAAGGAGAATGCTTCTATTACCCTTGCTTATGACATTGTTTATGGAATAAACCATCATATAAAAACCCTGGTCTGGACTGAAGTTTCGGGATGGCGCGAAGGTCCGGATATTGACAAGTTCAAGGATTAGAAGTGATGGTAGCCTCTTGAGGTACCAACAAACTTGAAAGTATTAGGTAGTGTACCTCAAACATTTCATATGTTTTTTACAGCACAACAGACAATTCAACCTTTTGATTTACTGAAACACGGAACACAAGAAAAATAGTGAACTGATATTAAGAATATTTGCCTCTGCATTTGGATTACTGTACTGTAATAGTACGGGAAAAAGCCTGGCAATAATGCGAAGGAAAAACCCCTAGCTCCAAAACAATGCTTGGACAAATAGTCTCAGGCCTCATTTTTCATCCATCCTCCATCCTCCAGAGCTGACAGATGGCGGGAACGCTGGATGCCCTGAACAACACGTGACCTATGCCCTGAAACGACCAAAGGGAGTGAAAGGGGTTAGAACCCTGCCCGTGAGCCCCACCCACCACAATCCGCTGCGATGCTCCCCAGAAAATCGCGCCAAGCCTCGCGCTGATTGGCCAATTTTGGACCCTATCACATTTGTTCATTCACGTGGTCTGCTTTCTGTTTACGCTGAGTGGCTGCTAGCGAGTCTGGGCAAACTCCGCTTTCGACCCCAGAAATAATTTCGAGACTCTGTTTCGCGATAGTCCATTGATATTCAAGGGAATAACAAACATAAAAGGAATATATTTGCCTGTGAAGGACGGTTCTCTATCTAAGCAAGAACATATACTAGGTATACAGCTAGTAGTAGTAGTAGTAGTAGTAGAACTCATACGCTGACCCCTCGCCTTGGGCGATATGCAGGTATCGACTATAGCTAATCCTTGTGTGTCTAGTTACATTTGTTCCATTACATAAGGGCGAGTTTAGAGCGCTTGATACCATTGTGGGTCTTCCGTGTATTTTATAGTATTGTATAAAACTGTGACATGAAATAATGACCATACACACATACGTATGGATTCTGTACGGGCGATCCATGGGTAGGCTGGAAGTAGTGTTGGTGTAATGACAATACAGGCGACCTCATTACGCAATCCTGAAATTTCACCTTTTTACTTGATTTCAATTACATTTCAGAATTCACGTGATTGGCACAATTATGTAAATTTATGCATTACTAAGCATTTTGTGGGCGATCACATGAGAGTTATGCACAATATACTACTTATCTTGGATTAGCGCAATTTCAAATTACATTTCATTTCAACAAAATCATTAAAATTTCAGTCGGAGCTTCCCTAGCTGGAAGGTTTCATGCAAACTAGCCAAACCGCTGGCTGTGTGCCTGGCGGATCTGGCAAAGTGTCAACAGTCACTTTCCTGTTCGTATCCTGTCATTCCGGAAGTGAGGTGCTTACTGCATGCTATGCAGGAGCTGAGTGGCCCAACACAAAATGACTCTGCTTATTATTATTGTTCTTAGCTTGTCAGCACAGTCGCTCCAAGATAAGATAGATTTCCCGCTGGAAAGCTAACGAACGATGATAAAGCTTGGAGAGTCAGCCTTAGTGGTTGCAGCGGGAAGTTGGCAGCCTTCATTTGTGAAGCTTTTGCTAGACATGGGCTTCGATGCAAATACCACAATAGATTCTTACCAACCTCATCGGATACCCACAAGGTCTGGACGGTTCATAACAATGCCAGAGTTAGAACAGAACTTCGGCATACGTTCTGAGGTCCGAGGGCCCTGGGGTCCATTGCATGCAGCAGTGCAGCGTGGTAATCAAGCCATTACACGTGTGCTTTTGGATAGCAACGCAAGCATTGATTGCATGGACGCTTATGGCTGGACACCACTACACTTAGCTGCCTCCAAGACATTGGATCTGGTGCCACTACTACTGGAGTACGGTGCAGACGCAAACATACAGGACAAGCAGGGCTGTATCCCATTGCATTGGGCGGTTGCGGGTTCGGTGGTCATGGCGCATGCCGGTGGCTGGTCATCGACGAGAAGTAACATTACAACTCAGGAAGCAGCCGTTGTTCTTCTTTTACAGAAAACGCCAAACCTCAACATGAGGAATAACGAAGGACAGACAGCGTTACACTGGGCGGTTAGGTACGGGGAGAGAACCGTTGCCCATCAGTTGGTCGAACAGCATGCGGATTCGAGGATAACTGATGTTTACGGGCGGACTGCGCTGGACTGGGCAATTGAATGTGGGCGTGAAGACATGGTGCAATTATTGGGCTGACGATATTTTTACTGTTTTCCAGTTGACAAGTCGCGCTGGTGCTATAGGTAGGTCTTTCTGATACTCAGGACCGCACCTTAGAGACGGAGAGAGGGCCAAAGATACTTAAATTTGGCAGGGGAGTGCTAAGATTATTGCTAAGAACAAGGACATGAAATTATGCCGAGATGGGAAGGCGGACATAGTTTTTCATGGTTCCTCTGATTCACAGGGCTATTCAAGCAGAGTTTATTCAGTTACATTTCTCGCCTGATGGCCGGATACCAGCATGTAGTCCTTTCGATCACGCAGTCCAGCTCTGGGACCCAGCAACAGGCATCCTACAACCCACTCTTGAGGGCCATTCAGACTGGGTTTTGTCGGTGGCATTTTTCGCATGATGGCCGAGTCCTAGCGTCTAGCTCTAATGATGCGACACTCAATCTAGCCTTCAATTTATTGGAAACATTTGAAAAACTGGAATCTGGATAATAGCAAGCCTATTCCTCTTATATGGAGACCATCCGTGGCCAAGGAACCTGTTTCACCCCAAGGCACCATATTTGAGGGGACTATCAACAGTGCATGGACACGAGGCTGGTTTTGCCGCTTGTTTCGAGCAGTTGTTGTCAACGCCGGATGTCCCGAGATCATTTCAAAAAACCCTGACTCTAACCCTAACCGCACTGAGGCGGGGTCTCGCAAACGGACTTGACAGTAAGATCCAGTCCACTTGTCGCTCAGGGCGGAATGGTCTGACGTTCACCTAGAAGTAGCGACCGAGTCCGAGAGAAGCCAGATTCTTACACAAAAGGGCCCCAATGATTTTGGAAGAAAGCTATATAGACAGCACCTCCGCTTTAAGTAGCATGGATGCATTCCTCGAAGAGACGATGCGCTCGACCATATCGAATATCTCCGAGGTGTTGGGAAATACTGTGCATTGGCTATCCCAGGCATATACCAGCTGAGCGACAGCAGCTATCACGAAAAAAGAAGATTTGCGCCAACTTGAAGGGCAACTCGGAGATTTGCAAACTTAGGAGAATTGCAACCAATCCCACGGCCAGAGTATGGCTGAAGAGAGTGATGCCGCCATAAAGCTCACCAGAAGGCAATATAAGTCTTGAAGACTCGACTCCATGACACTGAACGTGCTAATTACAGGGTGGAATGGATTTAAAGGCGTGTTGGAACGCAGGTAAGAGCTGGAGGGAAGGCTCCAGAAACGATCGTTTATAACGACGTTTGCCACCCGTCTGTTTAAGGCGCAGCCTGATCGTGATCGTGTCGCCGATATGATGCCGATGGATAATCATCTATCTTATCAAGATATGCTCTCCATAGATGGCTTCTAAATATGTACCTAATCGGAAGAAGTTCATGCATGCTGTATCTGTGGGCGCGTTAAAGTCGCACTGTATCAGAGATTTCTTCAGGTCAGGCTACATTTTGGCAGACTGCTGCCAAACAACCTACTATCGTCACGCGACTCACGACTGCAGCCACGAGCAGCCAGACTCTAAACGCAGCGGACATTGCAATGAGCCGTTGCCAGGGATTCAACTTACTCTGTACCAGAAACGGCAGGAGAGTAACATATTCAATTTTGGGATTTACCCATCTACGAAGCACAGGCTGTGGTGGTCCGCTTGATATCACGGCTAGACCTCGCCAAATCGCGGGTTGGGTTGGGTCCTCACTTTTTGAGCCCGCCCATGGGCAACCCATGCTGGGTTTGGGGAGTCCTGTGGAGTATCACGGTGGCGAAACCTTATGGCAGGGATTGGGAACAGTATATATATGAGGCATCCCGCTCCTGTAAAAGATATCTTCAAGAAGTAACTAACAATCAATCAATCTATTCTCACTTCAACACCACCCATGGGCTGTGTTCTTGGCGGGTACCCGTGGGCTTGGGCGGATCTTGGCGAGCTCTAGTCAGAGTTACGATTATCACGTGAGGTGGTTGATAGCACTGGCTGCTGGTGGTTAGTTAATGGTTCGGGGATGACTCTCTCCATGATGCCAAGCATTTTGACGTGTTTCAATCACTCTCTTATGATAAGCAACCTGCTTCTCTCCTGTGGGAAGCTTACACTCACCACTCACCAGCGTCAATTTTAACTAGCAAGTTGAGCTAGCCCAGAAAGGAAAGAGGCGGCTTGCATAGCGCCTCGACCTAAGTGGGCCCGAGAGTTGATCGTAGTTGATCACCAGCTGACCACAGTTCACACTAGTTCTATTCTCAGTTGGCTAAAATATAGCTGCACCGGTAAAGAATGGAGGTGGCTTGCTTAGCGCCTTAAGATAAGTGGACCAAACCGTTGATCGCAGTTGGCCCAGTTAAACGCCGATTTGTGCACCATTCTTGGTGGGGCGATCTATTGAGCGAAACCAACATCACTCAATGATCAGAAAGTTTGAGGTTCAAAACGGACCGCACCATCTTTCCATCCCTGCAATGGAGGTTTTGCCAGATTGGCCACCTATCACCAGATCTCCTTCAGCATTTGATCACTTTTACATTTACGGTAAAGTGATGTAGTGACAACTGTGTTGAATTGACTTGTTTGATTACATCAGGGTGAATTTAGAGAGTTGCCTAACAGTCCTGTGATTTTCTAAATTTCCTCACCACCTTGCGATAGGGAGAGGCGTGATAAATGATAGGATAATGATCATTTATTGTAGTGGCAATGTGATGCTGGGGATTGGATTAAACCAAATTTTCGCTCCTAATCAATCTTCAACGATTTATCACCTATTTTCTGTCAAGTAAGGAAAACAAAAAGGTAGCCAGGTTCTGTCACCTATAGTTTAAGTCTTTGAGATTAGGAACACACCCGTCACCTGTGATGTATTCATGATGCATGGAAATGGTGGGCGGTTATGAATCTTAATTCCCCAGGCCCCTGTCAGACAGCCTGATACTCTGTAGATTAAGTGTAGAAAATTTAAAGCGGCTCCATATTAAAACACTACGGCGTCGACCTTGTCCTGGGGTATTGAGTATCCCAATGGATCTCATGTGCTTCAACGAACTGATACAGTACTGCTATTCTCACATGTTCTGTTACAAGTCCCCTTAAGTTGTTTCGACTTGAGAACAATCATCCACCTACCAAGCATACGTCCTCTGCCAGGATGCCTCAAATGACCCCTTCAATCGGACCCAGTTCTCCAAATCCCAGGACGGCGATAACCTACCTTGTGAAAATGACCAAAATGTCTAAAGCAGTAATAGTGACAAGATAGGATGTTCACAGGAAAACTCAATGGCCTCTATTGTAGGTAGAGCAAGTGCATGGATGCTGCCTCGGTCAGCTGCATGCTGGTATTGATGGCAGTCTCAACACTAAGGAGTATGGCTTATAAAATATTGTGGGGCAAGCTGAGTGTAGCTTCCAAGCGATTTGAGGTAGATATGGCTGTATAGGGCTGTATTTTTGGCTGGTGAGCAGATTAACTATTGCCCCCATGTTCTACACCTAAGAGCACCCTGCCGTCCCCTATTTCTTTCCGCCTTAGGAGATGAGCAACTTCTGAAGCAGTACCCTATAATAAGCGACAAAACTATGGTAGGCGTGTCGATATATACGTGAAAGGAGTCAAACAAACTTCAAGAGCTTTACCCGTTGAAGAGTTGCAGCTTGCGCAGTTGCCTTTATTTTAGAGCCCCGAGCCGTGCCCAGGGTATTTACGTCTCATCCGCGCTAAGAATGATTTGCAACTCTGGTTCTGGGTATAAGAACGTGAGGTATCCTTTGAAATGAGGCCAATATGATATGCCTATACCGCTGACAGTTCATCGGAGGGAGTCTGGTCGCGGCATAATTCTAAATCCTCCACCTACGAGGCTCGTCGCAACTGGGGGCATGCCGATGCCAGTTGTGTTACTCTATTGCAGTTGAAAACTTGCGGAAACTCTCTCACGCTACACACAAGGGACTTGAAACAGACCTATGCCAAAGAGCAAACAATCCTGCAGAATAACGTTCGCGATGCCTACTTTTCTCCATTCCCGCAGGCTACGTAAGGCGAAAAGCAACGCGACGTCCAAGCTTGTGGGTGTGATTGTCGTCTCTCTTGTGATCGTTCGTCTTCGAAGCTTTAGATAACTGACGGCCAAGGCTCCGGCCTGGTGGAGCATCAACATCATGTCGGAAGTGTCTGATACTCAAAGGGAATACATGTAGTAGAAATCCTACCTCTATTTTAATATGGTTCGCCCTTTGTTCTTTTTTGGGAGGTGGTAATAAGGAGCGATCAAACATTTAATTAAGTGACGCCTCACGAAAAAGAATAGGGTTCATACAGAGTATAGGAATAAGTCATGACGGCGTATACTCTGGTAGAAACTGAGTGTTGAATAAATGAGTGGTAAGCTCGTAGGATATAAATTTTCAGACAGTGGTCTTGGTTCTTGTCCATGACTGTCAGTTCAACAGTATCCAGTGGATAATGCAAGACAAAGTATCTACTGTGATGCTACCTAGTATTTACATTCACGAAATTTTCCGACCAAACCCGGCCTGATTATCTCGACGATTTAGGTGGGTCGTGGTAGTTCGGTGTAACCGAGCTCTACTAAAGGGCCGACATTAAGGTTTCAGAATATCATCCTCAAAAATGGTCGTTTGACAAATCAACACAATTGAGCGCAGTTGTGCAGGTGGGGACACGCCTTAAGTGACCAGAAATTAGCGTAGCAATCCTGGTGGTGTATTCCCTAAATGATACTAGCTTACGGTTTCTGCAAATGATCCAGGTGAATAAATCCGATTATCCAGTCGGGCGATCCTTAGTGGCGTATTTCCTAAATAATACTAGCTTAGGGTTTGCTTCTTTTATTCTCTGGGCCACTCGCGCAGCTAATACACTAACCCTCTTATTCTCTCCAGCTTTCCCCCACTGAGTGGTCCATGATCTCTCTGAGGTCCTTCTAAACCTGTGTTAATTTTTGTAGCGGAAAATTACTGCCGAAAAAAATGTTGAACAAGAACATCGAATCTGGGCATCAACAAGGAAGTATCTTGAATTCTTTAGTGAGAACCTTAAGCAAAGAAGTGAATTTTACAGTTTGCTATTATAAGAGCAAGCTACAGTTAATTACGCGTGAGAGTCCCTCTCTAAATGTGATGTTGCAGGAATTAAAGAGGTACTCATCTGTCTTAAGATAGGGTAGTAGTATTGCTCTACACAGAGGTGAAGCATTGATAAGCACACAACTATCTAAATAAGTTAAGACACTCTTTACTTATTAACTAAAGGTGGACGGGCCTCTAAAATTATAGATAGATATTATGCTCTGGGCTGGCCCTGTCCTAAGATATGTATGCTCTGTGATATAGCTTACTGTTGGGGATACTCAGATAGAGCTGTATAAAGATGATTTTAAACTTCTCTGTTCTGGTAGACCATGGGGATTTCTTTCTCCCTAGCTGTACCCTAGTGACATTGTAAAAGAATTGTAAATAGTCAAAGAAATACTGGCAGATGTTCAGAAGATCAAGGACATAGCTAATAAAGGTTTGTAGGCCTTTCCTTTATATATTTCTGTACGGAGCTGAAAGGGATATAATTAACTAGTTATTAGTGAAGCATCTGCTCTTAAGTAACACCTCTCTACCTAAAGAGAACTTCTTTTGGATGAATATATCAATGAAAGTTGTATCATATCCAAGGATACTGTAAGTATTTGCACTCCAGATGCTGGCTCCTGCAACCCCTATGAAATCCAGCCGCCTTGTGAATCTGAAATTATGGCTTACCTAAATGTGGAGGATGCCAACACAGACATACAGTCTTCCTGGTTTGCAAAGTTAGCGCCTCCTAAACATGATGGGGCCCTTGTTCTTCCCACAAAAGTTGTCTAGATGGACCTGAGTGAAGAACATCCTAATGGTTCGAATACTCAGAGCCTTCAGAAATCGCTTATGGACCGGGGTTCAACGCCTCTTGACTGGATGGACCGATCTAATCCGATGGTAAATGTATATATGTGATAGCTTGTCCAAACTGGGCTGTAGGCATGATGAGCTGACCTTAACAGCACCCAAAGGTACATCTATCATAAACATCATCATGACTCCCAACATGGAATCAATCACATTGACAAATGAGAGGAGATATATGCCTGTCCTCTTCCACAGGCTTGCTATGTAGGTCAAGCATGTGTGAGACCTTGTCTATCTTGTATACTTATTGATAGGTTCAGGGCAATGAATGACCAGCAAAACGAGCAAATTATAAGGTGGTCGGAGGACAGAAACACTGTGGTTATTGTGAATGAGTAGGAGCTGACTATGAAATTGCTTCCCACTTTTAATATAACCAATTATTTCTCCTTTACCTAACAGCTAGAAAAGCTTGGTTTCTGGCGAGTTGAGCAGGGCTATAAGTACTTATATTTTAGATGTGACATCCCTGATGGTCCATTCTACTTAATTTAAAGGAACAACCGAAAGTCTTTGCCGTCATCTTCTACAGATTATTAAATGATCTGGCCCTCAGACATCGCAAATCTACGGACGCCTAGCTCTATCTCAGTGCCGGAAACATTGGTGGGCAATGGCAGTGTATGGTCTTCCCCAAGCAACATACAGCCTTCGAGTGTAAGACATGGTGCCCTGAGCAGTGATGTTTCTTATAGAATCAACTATAGGGTGGTTAAACAAGGAAGAAAACCAAAGGCTCCACATGCGAACCAAACAGTTTAGTGACTGAGTGCTTGGCAATTATGATCGCCACAATCTACCTAGCAGCCTAATAGCTAATGTTGACTCAATACCTCACCCCGTATCAAGAGAATAAAAAAGAAAGAGGATGGTGTTAGACAATCGCCGGCGAAACCACTGGCATTTGTATGCCTTACCTAGCCATCTCAAAGGTCATCGTTAAGCCGTAACTCCGTGATAGATAAATGTCGGTGTATTGTGAGAAGTGATAGCTCCATTCTCCGCCGTATAGCCCTGAGAAAGATTCTGCATGAAGAGTTATATATCAGGCATTGACCTTTATCAGGAAAAGCTCCAGTGGTGTTGTCTATTGCTTGAAAGCCGCGATTGATGTTAAAGTTTCGATATATTAGGTGCAATACGTTCGAACACTGTTCTTCAAAGGAGGCTTCTTAAGACGGAATATAGGTCGAAAAAAGGGTCTAGTTTGGTCCACTGTGAAGGAAATTGCATCAGCAGTAGCCCGAGAAGTCTGCCGAGAATTATGAGCGACTTGAAATGGCTCATGTTGGCGAGGAATCGTGTGACTTGCTGCAAGTGGCTAGCTCTGCAGCTTCTCTGGCAGCTGTATTGGCGTTGAACCATTGGCTCAAACAAAGACCATCGACTGGGCATGCTATCAATCATCTCTGTATTCACTGTTTTCACTACAAGTCGACTGTGCTGATGTCAGCCTTCGAGGCCTTTGCCACCATCTTTACGTCTGCATTGCCTAAGTATTTGAAATTTTGGAGACATGCTCGCCACATGTGATGTATAGCAACTGTGGACTGTGGTGACAGTTAATTCCCAAGTTCCATCAGATAGACTTATTATTTTTGTGTCAATCATTCATAGAAGAATGTAACCGTTCTAATTCTGTGAACATTATCAAAGTAGACAATGGCTTTGACACAGTTAATATTTAGCCTTTTCCTTTTACTATTCCCCAGTGTCTTAATACACCCTCTACTAAAGCTCTTTAGTTTTGGACTTCTGGGCCCTCAAGCCAGTGAGTAACCATGAGCACAGAGACTTGAACCTGTTTTTCTTGTGTAAAAGGCATCATTATTTTAATGCTCTAAGGTTCTTTCGCTGCATTTATATAATCATGGATTAGCAATGTGCCAAGCTACAGGATTTTTGCTTTCCTGCAAAGTGTAGGCATGAATGGGTATAGCTTTGCATGGATGAATAATATGATGCACTTCGGAGCGACCATTTTATTAAGGAAAATGGTAGCCTGTTGAACCTACACCCCCCTTTACAAGCTGCCTATCTGGCATGGCACGGCAAAGCGTATAAATCCAGCAGTTTTCGCAGACAACTTTTGCTCTCAAGAGCGCTTGCAAGTCCGAGGCACTGGAACGAAGCCTACTGCTTCTGTGCCAGAGCACCGATACCTTAATTCATACAGAGTAGTCTCTTGTCAATTGGTGTTGAGCGGTTGCCGACAATTTCCTTTTCATGGACGAGCTGCGGGGCAGCTAACAGTTATAAAAATAATTGGGCCCAATGGACAGTATTTTGTACATTTACTATGCGGTATAACTGTCTTGAATGAAAATAACATTCCTTCCTTGAATTACCAACCGTCAAGAACTAAGTCAGCAAACATTCGTCTAAGGTGGCTTTTACACATCTGACAACCCTTCCATAAGTTCCTATCGGTGGAATGTACTTTCCAGTGTGGGCAAAGACCAGGACCAAGCTTAGCCCCTGAGTGGTAGCTCAGCAGTCTTCGATGGGCCATGGGGACGTCTGTGCTCGAATCTGGTGTCAAGATGTTTATGTCTGAAGATCCAACTTCGTTGTACTCTGTGTTAGCTGACAGGCCTGGTCTGTTAAGATGTACTGGTGTTTAATAGTTAAAGTCCCTATCTGAGCTTCACCTGATGGAAGTATGATTACTATAAAGAGTAGTTGCCCTTAGAGAGGACTCTTTATTAATGCTAGAATCAGCCTCTGGAGCTAAATCCCCTTCTATATAGCTTACCTAAGTTATACTAATATTATAGTTACTGCTAATAATCTCCTCCTTATTAGTGTTTAGTATTATATTATTATTATTACTATTCTATAATCCTGCCTCATGCTGAATAGAAGAGATCTTATTAGAGTAGACCTGTGCTATAACCTTCCCTAGAAATTTATTAAAATCTAGAGTCTTACTAAACCCTTTAAAAAGCTATTCCTACTAGAAGATTCCTTTATTAGCCTTAAAGCTTACTGTTACTCTAGCAGTAAGATACTTAGAAAACTATAGCTCTTCTAATATCTTTAGGAATGCCTTCCTTCTAAGAGCTATAATATTAATGATAGAAATATTCTTATTAAAGATTTAAATATACTGCTTTATATATTCTATTAAACTATTAAGACTATGCCTTACTATAACTCTATATATAAATATACTCTGAGTATATTTAGTTACTTACCTTAGTAGTTTACTAATTAATGGTGGCTTCACAGTCTTATAATTATTAGTATATAGGTAATGTATAATTATATGCCTAATATTCTTATCTATATCAGAGAGTATTACAGCTAGGGATCTATTCACATCCTAAGAGTAAGGCAGGGTGGCAGCTTTGCTAAGAAGGTTCTCTGGGATGGTGTAATGCTTTTTACTAGAGCTAATTAAGACTATGGCTGCTTTTCCTTTATATAGGCTTAATTTTCCTTAGATTAGTCCTTACTCTTTTATATATAGGGTTATCATTGCCCACAAACCTGGTATTAGGCTGAGTGTATTCAATAATAATAGGTTTAGGGAGAATAGCAGGTGCTTTAGTAGTAATTTCTGCTCTTTTAGAGGCAGGCTTAGTAGCTTTAGTAGCTCTAGTAGCCAGAGTATTATTAACCTTATGTTGCTTGATAGTAGACTCCTTAGCTGCCTTATCCATTTCTTCCAGGTTAAGGTAAGAGTCAGGCTCGGGATCAGACTGAGTTGCGGACTGAGGGGCAGCCTCAAAGACAGGGTCAGGAACAGGCTTGGGGATGGGATCAGGCTCAGGGGCAAGCTCAGGGGCAGGCTCAAAGACAGCCTCGGGCATGGGCTCGGACATGGATGTGGGTTCAGGGTCAGGAACAGGCGCTGTACTTTCGGCCATTTTAACAACAGGAAAATCAGCTGCTTAAAGGTAGTGCGGGGCTGCCGAAATCATAGTATATTATAAATTATTTAAATTACTTTTAGCCTTTCTCTTACATCCCTTTTTCAGCATTTTTCCTGCTTGGGATGTCAACTGGGATAATAAAGATGAGATATTAGATTATAGCAGTGGTGGGTATTAGGAGGATATAAGGTATCCAGGCCCTAGTAAGATTATAAATAGCAAGCCTGAAATACTAGTTTAAAGTTATGATATAATTCTCACCTCTAGCCATACTCTAACAGCTTAAACGGGACGCTTACAGTTATTTTATTAGGCTAAGGCTAATATCTACTTCTCTGTCCTAATATCACTTCTATATCTAAGTCAAAGAGAGTGGCAAGGAACGAAAGTTAGTAAAAACCTTGCTAGAAATACTTTATATGCATCGGCCTTTTGAAGTAGTAAAGGCAATGATGATTAATTAAAATCAAGTCAACAAAATACAAGGTAGTATATAAGGGGTCGTTCCATTGTTGCTTGTCAGCTGATGGCATCAGCTACTGGAGAGCTGGCTAATGCAGGATAAGGAGAATCCCCCACTTGCATAGAGTCTTCACTTATCTGGTCGCACTATTCGGTGAAATACTGGAGAGGTCAATGGGCAGGCCATACTATGATTCATCTGGACCATGGTACAAGGCTACTATAGACTTTTTAACCCTTCCTATCAGCGCGGTTGAGATATGGACCTGCCGGAACTCGCCCGCGAATTTAAAAGAAGTAAAGCTGAGTTCTAAAGCCGCAAGTTCCATCAATGATGTTGGGCACCAACCTAGTCACGGACCATAGTGCTATCTCAAGACAAATGTAGTTGCAGTACAGTATATGAGCTATCCATACGCTACAAATTTTAAAAAGAACGTACAGTGTAAAAATTATACATTTGCGGAAATTGTTCAACGTAGCTGTTTCCGCAGTCTATGATGCCATGACTCCGCGGCAGCCATATGTAGAGCAGAAAGTATATTCTACGGAAAGCCCCTTGTCACAAATGTGCCATTCCATGAATGCATGGGAATACGTACCCTTGGCGGCGCATATTGAAGGGAAAATGTAGTTGCCAATGCTGGATATGGATTGGATTTAGGAATCGCAATGTACCGGGGGACATTAACAGGGCGGCTTGTGCGTTCGATTGGTGGAGACACGCAATTCCTTGTTTGATGGAGGCGAGATAGTTCCCCTTATCCAAAGCCTTTACTTCGTGGCGTCAACAATTTGGGAACTACAAGGGTCAGAGAATTCATCCAGCTCTTGCCCCGCTAGCAGCGTCGCCGTAGACTCCAAACAGTCCGTGGATATCCTTGTCTATGAGCAATCCAGCTTTTTGGGTTTCTCTTATTGACCCTTAGTTCAGTTACTCACTCCATACTGAAGGACAATGTGCACCTCAGTCACGGGAAGAATGCTTGGACATTGCTATCGATCACCGGTACTGTGAGCTTTTCAAGTTGGTATGTAAACAGCCGCGCCTTAATATTGGCGGAAGTCATGCCGTGCAACTTGGTAGGGCGAGCAAACACAGAAAAATATCTGAACAGGAAGTTAACCTAAGACAGCAATTTGTTGGCCCCGGATACGCGGATGGCATGACATAACCACGAACAGAAATGTAGGAAAGTGGGCCTGGCGGCGGCGGTGGTTGGAGTCTGTCTATATAGCCACTAGGACACCAGCTCCTCGATATCCTGGGTGACCGAAATGTGTCTCCATTGACGCTTGCATAATATCTACTAAGGATGGTTAGACGAGAGGCATAGAATGTGAACGACTCTTGCTCCTCTGACCTTAGCATTTAACCACCTTATAGACAATTACTATTACCGTCCACATTTGCTTGCAATATGGATAGTTGCTTCGGCGCCAGGTTACCCAGTGAACAGGCCTTGCTGAAGTTGGACCTTCCGGACATAAGCATGTTGACACCAGAGTTGACGACAGACATCCCCGCGGTCACCTCAAGAACGCCCAGCTATACGGCGGAATTTGGGGAGTTTGAAGAATTTCCGTACATACTCAAGAGTCACTCTTAGCAACTCTGAAGGAAGGTTTAGCAGCATCTTATGTGTAAGATGTGAGGAGATGGTTGTTTATGAGAGCTCCAATGAAGCTTTTGAAAGCTGAAGGCCAAGGCTTAGGCCTGGTGGAGCGTCAACGTCAGAATACATGTAGTAGAAATCCTACTTCTGTCTTATTAGGGTTTACCCTTTGTTCTTGCTTGGGAGGTGGTAATAAGGAGCAGATCAAATAATTAAGCATATTTGATTAAGCGCTGCCTCGCTCAAAATCTTCTTATAGATGGGGAGGCACTATATCAATCCAGATGCCTCGATCTTGAAAAGGAGTGGACAACCCTCCCAGACGTGCAAGCCTCTGGCTATCCGCCATTTCCTTTGCAGTTCCCAGCAGATGAGGTTGCTTTGATGGATGAAGATGTTTCTGGCGCAATCAGGGGTATGGAGTTAATGCAAAACCTGAGGCAATCGCTAGGCCAGCTGTGGCCGGACAAAGGGGCTGTACGGCCAGAGCAATATAATGAAGTGAAAACGCGTTTGAAGCAAGCGAAGCGAAGCTGATTGATCGGCTGGCACATTCTGAAACAGAAAGAGTTGCGATCATGGCCATTCGATGACTGACACTGTTTCCAGATGATCCAGCATGTCTCAGTTACATGCTGCATTAGACTATCGTGGGTCTTGTACCTCTATCCTACATATATAGCACCCCGTTACGCATAAAGGACGCCAAAGGTTGATCTCAGATGCCTTTCCCTCTGTCCACCATGTAAGGATCCTCTTGGGCCTTGCCACAACTGCTTTCGACGCGGAACCTGATTCATCTCGGCCAAACAATGCGGATCAGATGACGTCTCACAACCTGGCGCAGACCTGTTGGCGGAGGCCGGAGGTGGCTCGGGCAGTCAACCCAGAAATCATCCAGTGCTTATTGAAACTCGCCTTGTGCAGCGGTGCATTTGCGTCAGAAAATTCATGCGACTTTCAATACCGAGAAGACCTTTTGCGCTTCGAGCATCTGGTAGACGGAGCTGTAAGCTTCAGCTTTCGCGACCAACGCATCTGCAGGGACCTCATAGTCCTCTTAGCGAAGCGCAGGCCGAACTCCTTCTCAATTCCCCCCCAGGCGAGCTCAACCGCCTTCGTTTATTTGTGATAGTGAATCTATTTGTTTTTGTGTTTTTACACAATACAGCCAAGGCATGCTATTTATTCTCTTCTATCAGTACACCTACATGCCGAAAGTGGCCTTTGGCACTCTGCATCCTTGCACCGACCACCACAATGCACCACTCGAGAAAAGCATCGAAACCTTGACCTGGATTCTCTTCGCACTCATTCCACCTACGCTTGATGAATTGCTTCAGATCAGAGAAGAACTCCTCGATAGGGTTTAAATCTGGAGAGTAGGGCGGTAGATATAGTAGTTTGACTCCCGCACTCAACCACATCTGTTTAACCCGCTCTGTCTGGTGGGAGGATGCATTGTCCATGATAATTACGGATCTTGGCTCCGGCCATCTGTTACAGGGGTGGAAAAATTGCTCGATAAAATCCTCAAACATACGGGCATCGGTTGAGCCTTGGAACACTCGTGATAAGAGGATACCCTCTTGAGTGTAGGCGGGCAATATCTTATAACGTTGATCTCGGCGGAATTTGGTGATCTGAACCGGTGTTACACCAAGAGGGGACCAGCCAGTTCGGCGAAACCCAACCCTCTTATCACAGCCCGACTCATCCACGTAAACCAACTGATATGACGAAAAAGAGGATAGGGTATGCACATAATAATCTCGTAAATCCGCATTTTGTCCCTTGGCAACCTGCCGCGCTGCCTTCTTCGACCATCCCACAGATGCTAGTGCCCTGCTTATGCTCTGTATTGTGACACGCTTTCCAAATTCATCCCACAGAAAAACTACCATTTCATCCTGATATAGAGTCGGTTTTTCCTTCAAGTGTTCACAAAGGGCTTCAAGCATGGCTGGGGTGATGCTACGCGGTCGTCCGACGCTATTACGGGGGGTCTGACACTGCTGAATGCTTGTAGGTTGCGACGGATATAAGTTATAGTTTGTTTGCTGCAGTTAGCGGCGGATGCGATCTCAGATCTGGTTGGTGAATCACTTTGAATCATATGATGAATCATCTCGAGCTGTGAGGCTTTCAAGTTCGACGGCATTTTTACGTGACGTGCGGTTTTGTGATAGGATCGTGCCAAGCTCCAATGGTAACCTTCGTCGCGGCCCGTGAATTTCTCCGGAGGCGATTCGAATTGCATGATGTCACGTGCCATAGACAACAAGAACAACTACATCACATCTGTGCTTTGGGTCGCTCCAAGCAACAATGTCCTCGCACAGGCATCAGTCTTCGCTTGAAGGGGTCTTGGATTTTTCCGCACCTTTTTCGCTAACTCCGCAACAATTTGGCACTGCGGAGAGACTTCTTAATGTCTTCACCGACGACTATGGCATTGAACAGGTAACGGAAAAGCGCATTAAGCCTGCGAAATTGATCCATGAAACGTTTAAACACGTCATCTCAAAAGACTCTTTCTTGACCTTTCTATTGACATTCTTGCACGAGATCTTGGCCGATGTTACATCTAACGTTGCACTGGCACTGTCATACTTCGAGGATTTCACTTCCTGGGAGCCAGCTGCGCGAAGCAAAGTGATGCGTGCTCTTGAAGGGTTCGCAGAATTCATGGTCACTCAGTTCTTCCTTCCACGTGGGTTTTGATGTCTCCATAGTTGCAGTCACTTTTAACTCGAGTAATCCAGTTCCTCGTCCGTCAAGACTCCACAGCCCACGCCCACCTCGTTGTCCGCCATGCATGCATCAACCCCTACTGGCACAAAACAACGCATATCTCTGCTGAGACATGACTGCCTCGTCCGTGATCATCATCGGTGTGTTGTGACCCGGAAATTTGACATAGTGGAAGCTAGGAGGCGTCTTCGCAAGGACAAATATAGTGAGGATGACGATGGAAAGCCCCTTTAGACGGAGCGACGTGACAACTTTCAGTACCTGGAAGTAGCCCATATACTGCCTCACTCCCTAACAACGGTTGCTTCTGGAGATGAGGATCTGGTAGGACTAACTAGCCTTCAGACGGATTCAAAGAAGAATGTACTCCGGATCTTAGATATGTTCGGCCCTGGCATCACCCATCTCATCGATGGTCCGAATATCGACAGCCCATCGAATGCTCTCACACTAACAGTGGATAACCACCTACTCTTTGGCGAATTTCAAATTTATTTTGAGCCCACGGGCAGACCTCATGAATATAGAATTCATTCCGCCGAGAGCGGTGTCCTAAGTGACCCTTACTTCCCTGTCACTCGCACCCTAACGCGCAGCCCTAACGATACGATTAATATGCCCTCCCCTCGCCTTCTGGGCGTTCATCGTGCCATCTCACTTATGTTAAAACTCAGTGGTGCTGGTGATTACATAGAGCAGATTCTCAGAGATTTGGAACAGATAACGGTGGAAGCAGATGGGTGAACTAACCTGGGCGATATAATGAGATTACGATTTGATGGCTGGGTGGACCAATTGGCTGTATTCTAATTTGAGGAAGTCATCTGTTTTTGATTGTTTCTTTTAACTCGTAAACAACAACTGAGATTCAATACTTTCTGGTTTTGCTCTGCTACCTGTACTGGGTAATTGGAAAAAACTGGAAGGTCCCAGCGACTGCTTTCACAAGCTCATTCCTCTTCGTATTATCACGAATACCCGAATGACTGTAGTTTTCGTCTTCTATGGCCTCCAGTGCGTTGTTCCATGTTTGTCCAGGGAAAGCTCCGCGAGGAATTGCTGTTGTTGTCTGATCTTAACATCATGCCATGACTCTATCCGACTCCTTGCTTGACGCAGAAATTGGGGCAGTGAGCCATTGTTAGCTCTCAGCCGTATCAAGTCTTGGTTGTTGGGATTAGAGAGTTCCGGTAAGAAGTCACGCATGTCTGAATCATTATATATGCCCTTAATTAGGAGATCCTCCAAAGATGGCAGCTTGTTTGTTAACAGATGGCGGAAGAAATCTACTGAATGCTGTAATACCAGGCTCTAGAGCTTCAGGAGTTTGATTCTGCACTGGTGGCTAGGGCATAATAGATTTGAAAAACTTGCCTCAATCTCCTCAATATTTTAGCCCAGCTTTTGAAGGTCCAGAAGATCAAAGTCTGACCAGCTTATAGTGACATGTCTTAAGGTTAGTGCCTCTCCTAAGATAAGCAGGCTCTGTGAGTACATATTCTCTAATCTAAATATTAATAGCTAAGGGAGTGTTGACAAGTCCACTTTAACACAGCTAAAATTATAGTAAGAATCCTCATAGCTGATTATCAGCTTTCAAAGCGCTGGCAACTCTGGGATAACTATTAGGTTTATAGAGGCTTAGAAAACCTCAAGATCTTCTAGAAACTGAAATAGGTAAAACAAGCCTATATCAGGGAAGAAGCTCAGGCTCCTAGAAAACATGCCACTAGGATCACAGTGTCCATCCTATTTCAATATCCCATCGCCATTATAGGTTAAGTATTGGTCGCACTCGATTCTAAGGGAGGTTAAACAAATGCAACAGTAGGCGGTAATATAGTGGTTATAAGGGAGTGGGAGGCAATCTCACATATATATACCCTTTTAATTTAGGTATTCTATATAGTAGACTAAATACCTCTTATAGCCCATGTTATGAACAGTGAAGGATATGCATGCTTCTAATATGCATTATTAATAGCCCCAGGACTTCAAATATTCATGCTACTGGCAGTTATTTATAATTCAGGACTGTGGGTAGATCAGGATGGAACCATATCTCTATATGCTTAAAGAGTAGTCCCAGTACATAAGCTTAAACTACAATTAAAGTAGCATAGAGTGTCCACAGATCCTCCCATGGGAGCTATATCATTCAGTTTTAACACAGCAGAATTTAGAGGGTTTGAAGGATTTATATACATATTCAAGAGTTGCTCTTAGCAACTCTAAAGGAAGGTTTAGCAGCATCTCATATATAAGACATAAAGAGATAGCTATTTAGGAGAGCTCCAATAAAGTCTTAGATACCTGAGGGTAAGGTCTGGCCTAGAGGGGCATTAACATCATGTCGTTGGTTTCTGATACGCAAGGGGAATTGGTCAAAGGAATGGCGTATTATTTGCTGCCGCAGGGTTAATAATTATATATTCAATGTTACAGTCGATTAGTCACAAATATGTAGTTGAAACCCACTTCTATCTTAGCATGGTTCACCTTTTCTTCCTTTCTTAGGAGGTGATATTGAGGTATAGATCAAACAATCAACCGCATTGATTAAGCGGTATCTCGCCAAAAGGATTCGTTTAAAGAATACCGGATGGAATATAGATGCGTTGGAGCAAGGTTGAACCAATAGCAAATATACTTTGCATTGCCTAGTCCTTCCTCAACACAGTGCATGTTTGTTACAAAGGTGTAACATTTTCTACTGTAGCTAATGAAGACTGTTACAGCTTTACCTTTATAGTGACGAAAAACCTTCCTTAGATTAGTGCCCACTCTCTCATGTATAGTGTTATCATCATCTAACCACCTCATCTTGGGCTGAGTGTATTCAACAAGGGCATATTCATGGAGAATAGCAGGTGTTTTAATAACAACCTCTGCTCTTTTAGAGACAGGCTTAGTAGCTTCATCACCTCTAGTGGCGGGAGCTTCAACATTCTCACCAATCATCAATATTCATTCATTTTGTTAATCACAAGTTCCTGTAACAAATTAATATTTGTCACCTGGACAGATGTTCAAGGTTCAACTATAATGCTGCCATTTTTGCACAAGTGCGGACCTAACTAGAATTGCCAAGACCTAACTAAGAATTTCGTCCGTATCAGTCAGCCACTACTAGAGCCTCAAGTTTACAGCCACAACCTGTCATTACAACTAGCTAAGCACCGCTAGCCCAGAAAGGCAAGAAGCAATTTGGGAGGCTCGCATAGCGCCTGATCCTAAGTGGGGCAACAGTTGATTGTATCCGTGCCATACGCACCCTCACCGCTCGCGGTGAGGGTGCGCCCCACCCGAATCGTCGATATCACCCGAATCGTCGATTTTTCATCAAAACCATGATTTTGAAGCCATACTAGGTGTTATCTATATAAAAAATATTACTGTTATCACCAGCTGCCTCTGCTGATCCATTTGATACCATATTCTCTTGTGTAGGTGCTGGTGGTGGTGGTTTACCATGCACTTTCTCCCACAGCCTTTGTAAACATCTCTCTTCTGTAGCAGCATCTTTGGCCTTCCTAGAAGTAATTGACCGATTTGCATCCCGCACACATAATATACCAGACTGACTGAGCGGCTTAACATGACGCTTAGTATGCTGACACCATAGAGGGGCCTGCGCGGCCCTAATTTAACTCATAGTTTCATTTAGGATGGCCAGGTTCTAGGTAACAATTCGACTATGTTTGAATATCCGGTCAAGGTTCCGCTGTAGCTTTAGTGTAAGAAGATCTGCATGCTTAGATAGCTTTGCCTAATTCTTCTCAAGGGCCTGAATCATCCTTAGAGGTGAGATATCAATGCTAGATGAAGATGGTGGCCGAGAGGGTGGCGTAGAGGGAGTAGTCTTATCAAGATCAGGCATATAGATATCTGGGATTTGCTCCTATAATTGGATACCAAGATCATCAGCTATCTTACTGTTGACTAGCCAGATTCCACGATCCTTGAAGGCCTCACGGATGATCCATTGGTTGAAAGCCTTCTCCCGTACTGGTCCAATCAACCGTAAGAATTCTGACTTCCCTACTAGCTCACCAGCCCAGTAAGATAGCTCATTATTTGCACGCCGGAAGTGTTGCTTATAGCTCAAGAATGGCTTGCCATCTAATGGCTGGCAAAGATGTGTTGTATGAGGAAGGAATGCAAAGGGTATAATGCTATTATCTTCGCATGTTTGTATGAATCTAACCCCAAACTTTTTCTTCAGACGACGGCTGCATGCAAAGAGGTTGGCAGACCACCAATAAGATCGTACAGCTGTGGGGCGACCAAGTACTATTTCCAGAAGCATTAGCCTAAGGCCCAGGCAGCCCTAAATATTAGGGGTGTAGAATATTACAGTCCACAAGCTCACATAAGATGGCTGTTTTAGAGCAGCATTATTACAAGTACCACCTATCATTGTGCCATAAGCAATCCCTAAGCAATCCCTAAGCAATCCATAAGCAATCTATAAGCAATCTATAAGCAATCCATAAGCAATCCATAAGCAATCCATGAGTAATCCAAGAGTAATCCAAGAGCAATCCAAGAGCAATCTAAGAGCAATCCAAGAGCGATTAAGATTATACAGATCGCTCCCACAGAACTGAGTGTATCTGCTCACACAACTTTGTACGGGCCACTCTTGGCTGGTGACATATGTCAAACTACGTCACTACCGAGATGATGATCGATGTATCTGCGGTGCCCAGGAGATGGTAGTCCACATACTGGTAGACTGCCCACTACTGAGAGATCTGCAACAAGAACTACGCAGGAAAATCAGGGGCGCATTCAGCAACATTTCAAATACACTAGGAGGAGGGCAACAAGGTAAGGAAGGTAAAGTACAAGACACTAAGCAAGACAGCAGCATCCTGGAGGCTGTACTGGACTTTGCAGAAGCATCCCAGAGGTTTCAAAGTCACGCGCCACAGGGGCCGCAGAACAGAACACCAGGCACCTAGGCCAACTCAGGCCTTGACGAGGCTCCAAATTCGTTAGGAAAGCAATGGTTCACTGTACTGTACATAAGGGAACACACATAGATCGATAGGAGAGGGAGATCCTGCATATCGCCGAGGGAATTAATTTTACCACTAGACCAAAATACGAATCCGCACCTAGTCTAGTGGGCTGTGGTTTATAATCAACTCTCCCCCGTAAACCACAAACACGTGGCTGGGGACGACGCTTGAAGCTCTGTTGCCTGGCTGGGTGGCCATCATTGGCCGTCTGGTGGTGGCTCTAGGTGCTCAAAGTCGCCAACTGCGAGAATCGAACCTGTGCGATCAGAGGTCGCACAATCCGGGCTCATAACCAATTAATTTTACCACTAGACCAAAATACGAATCCGCACCTAGGCTAGTGGGCTGTGGTTTATAATCAACTGAGGGCGAGGGGTCAGCGTATGAAATCATCATCATCATCATCATCATCATCACTGTAAGTAGCACAAAGCATTCACTGGGTAGCTGTTCATATTCTGGTACAGGCGAAACTAGTACGAGCCTCCTACTGCAACTTGTACACCTCCATTACTGTAGTGGTGAATCTTCCTGGCGAAGCTTCTATACTAACCAGGCACAGCCTCAAGGGAACTTGCTACTTCAGGCTGTTTTGCACAACATATTGAAGGCTGGATATGTGAGATACTAGCTTCCCAACTGGATATAAGAAGTACTTGGCATGCCTATGTTTAATGTACATCAGGTCTAGGATATTCATCTAAGGTTAATTCATCA